AGATGCTAGAGGTAGGGAGGGGGGTGGGAGCAACTTTGGGGCTCAGCACCTGCTCCGAGAATGCCTCTTTCCCAGCTGCCTCAGTGTTGCTCTGCTCCCTACTTGGGCCTCTCAGTCATTTCACTCCATAACCCTCCCTCACAGGGTTAACATGAATTCTGGATAGAAATAGAGTTAGAATTAAGCATCAAGCAGGCTGCAATTTGACCCACTTCCTTGTAACCGCCAAGTGACATAGCTCTAGAAACTGACCATTCATGTCGCCATTGTTCCTATAGATAGGAATTCTGATGTCAACGTCATAAAGCTTTTGTTTAAGATAGGTAGGATCCCTGACATCAGGATCCCAAGGCTTTAAGAATTGCTTAAGATGTTGTTCAGATCCTAAATTCCAGTGAAACAGCTGACACCAACCAGTTTGAAGACCCCCACAGAGGAATGGAATCATTCCAAGAACACAATTTCTTCACATACCTGTTCAATGACTTCACCCTGCACACCTCGACCAATCAGCCATCTCTACACCTTGGTCCACTCCAAAACCCTTAAAATCCCTATCCCAAAACTCCCAGGAAAGATGGATTTGAGTTTTCCTCCTATTTCCTCATTTGGTGGCCTCATGATTCACCTTTTCTCTGCTGCAACCTGGTGTCTCAGTGTATTAACTTCCTGCACACTACGGGAAATGGATCTATTGCATTTACACCTAGCTGCAGGATAGATAATTTCATCAGCAGCACTAAGGTTGGTGGGGGCTGGGGAGCTGTGGTCTGGGCGGTAGAGAGACCTTGTATAGAGCAATGGTATCCTTAAGCTGCTGGGGTTCAGGATATGCTACCCCCAAAGCTGGCATATTGAAAACAGCAGAAGCAGAAAGGTCTCACTGACCCTCCACTGCCCTTCTTTCCTGAAGCAGCTCATAAGATCTAGGAAGGATTTTCTGTCCCCCCTGAAGCAGGTCATATGACTCCCATGTGAAAGATACCTTTTCATACCCAGAGGAAGGGAGCAACCTTATCTCTGAAGACACAGGGACACAGAGAAGAATCTGAACACACAGGCCTTGTGAAGTTTCCCCGTTTACTGCCATTAAATCATATCCCCTCTGTCCTATCTTAGGTCTCCACAACTGTTCACTCTTCATCAAGTGTAGCATAAAAATCCACAAGTTTAACCATCCCTTTGGTCTTCATTTTCTTATGAAGGCTCCCATATCACACGAAACTTACATTATATAAATTTGTACACTTTCTGTCATCAATCTGTCTTTTGTTATAGGGGTCTCAGCCATGAACCTAGATTGGGTAGGAAAAAAAATATGCATCTTTCTCTGCACAGCAATGGAGTGAAGTTGACAGAATTTGTTTTCTGTGCCCCAGTGTCCTGTGCTGAACTTAACTCTCCCCTAGTATTATTGATCTCAAGGACAATGTCTTCACTCAAGTTCCTTCCCTTCGCTAACCATCTCTCATCTAAACTTAACTTTTCTTCATTCTAAAACTTTATGGTCTCACAGGAATCTTTCAGAAGCAAGAGGCTGAGGCTGACACTGATTGGTTCGCTCACCAGTCTTCCACTGAGGTGAGTAGTCACTGATCTACTATACAGGCTTGAAACCAGTTCTGACTTATCATGGTGCACACCAACCTGTCCTTCTCAAGTTTGTGGGAACATTTTTGTTCTTAGGTGCTAATCTAAATAAACATCTTAACATAGGCTTTTCTTGGCAAAGACTAGACAACATGGGTCACCTAATCAACATTTCAGGTAGAATAAAATAGTTTTGGGATGGCCAGTGAAGCAAAGTGCAGAACAGACCCGACCAACATTAAAATGAACACATCTTAATGACATGTGTTTTCTACATCTTTTTCTTCTTTTCCCACTCCTGTGAGCTTCCAGGAATCTGGGTCTAACTAGAAGACGTGTGTGTAGGTTTTTCAGTTCACTTTAGCTGCACAATCTGAGGTATTCTCAGTACACCAGAAACTTCTCCTTCTCAGACCTCAGCTGTAAATAAACAAGGAACTGATAGTATTAACCGGATACCACACGTGGCTGGTTTCCGAAGGAAGTCTGTAGCTTACATCTAACGAGCATGGTGATCTTCCACCCTTACTCTCACACAAGATAATTCCCTGATTTATGAAAATGAAGTAGGAGTTCTTTGTGAATCAGAGCTGCAGGAGGTTGGACAGGTACCCATCTTTTTTTAAACTCACACTACAATGGCCTATCATACTTATTTTACTATTTTGTACCTCATTGTTAATATTCAAAATGGTTTGAATCTAAGTGTCTATTTGCAGTCATTGATGTCATCCCCAAGTATCTTTAGCATTTGTCTGCTCAATTTCTTCTAAGTGTAGAATGAGAGCCCCACTTAGACTGTGTCCATGCATCTTGTGGCTGAGAGCAGGGACTTGGGTGGCAAAAAGGAGCCTGGGTTTAAGCGCTGGTTCTTGCCACCCACCATGTGACATTAGCATGCATAGCTTATGCAAACAACAAAAATTCTGACAAGAGGTCTGTGGATGTTACACTCAGGCCAGATTCGCCACAGCTGTGGAAGAGGACACTAAGACTGTTCCATTCATTCCTCTGAATAAAGGTAAGAGAAGGATGAGGATGGAAGGGAACAGAGAATGAAGAGGCAAAGGATTTTGCAAAAATGAATTATCAGGTAGAGCACAAGAGTGAGGCCCTACAGCTTTGCTTTGTGTTCCAAACCTCCAGCCCCAGCCCCAGGCCCTGACTCCCAGCAGCCTGCCCAATTTCTCTTGCATCCTCAAACCTCTTGGGTCTTCAAATCCAGCAGTCTTTCCTCAGTCCTTTTGTTTTTGTTTTTTTTAAGACAGGGTCTTAATCTGTTGCCCAAGCCGGAGTGCAGTGGTGCCATCATAGCTCACCGCAGTCTTGAACTCCAGGGCTCAAGCAATCTTCCCACCTCAGCTTCTCCAGTAGTTGGGACTACAGGCAAGCACTACCACACCCAGCTAGCTTTTTTATTTTTATTTTTATAGAGACAAAGTCTCACTGTGTTGCCCAGGCTGGTCTCAAACTCCTGACCTCAAGCAATCCCTTTGCCTCAGCCTCCCAAAGTGCTGGGACTACAGGCATGAGTCACCATGTCAGGCCTCAGTGCACACTTATCTCTTGGAGAATGTGTCCCCCCACTGGCCAATTCCTGCCTCCTTGTTCTAGGTCATTCTCGGAGGGGAGAATCAGCTCAGTCAAGCAATTATATGCCTGGACCCTGGAGCCAGACTGCCTGAGTCCTGTCTCTACCACCACCTTCTTGGGCGCGTGACTTACATTATTGGGGCTTCAGTTTCCTTATCTGTAAAGTAGGGATTCTAATAGTGCCTACCTTGTTGTAGTGTCATGAAGATAAAATTATTTACTCTATATAAAATATGACACTGACTGGATATAGTAGGTGCTATATAATTGCTTGTTACTGTTATTATCCTGGAGCTCCCTTTCCCATGTCTTCTCCTTTTTTGTAGTATATTTCTCTGCCACAGTTCTTCTTAACTAAATGTGTCCCCCAGGTTCTATCCTCAGCCTTCTCTCTAGCTATGCCCACTTTGTGAATTCATTAGTTCTCCAGGTTTCAAGTATCTTCCCCATGCTGATGACTCTCCACCCAGTGTCTGTGGCCCGGGTCCCTCACCTGGACTCCTCTCTCCCTCTTCTGCTTAAATGTGTCAGTACCATCTCAACTTGAACACATCCTCAACAGAACTCAGGGTCTTCCCCTCTAAGCTGGGTCCCCATCCCCTCCCCCATACATGATAGCATCATTCTGACTCTTATTTCTCCCAATATCCAACTCATTAGTAAGCCTTGTTCTCCCTGTAACTTCCCTCTGACCCACCCCTCCCACTGCATCCCCACGGCCACCACCATCCAGGCCATTCTCACTAGAACAAATCACAACGCAGCTTCCTAACAGGTGTCCCTTTGGGACATGTGTCTCAGCTGGGTAGAGTTGGTATTCCAGACATTCATCATGACTGGCTCCCAGTACTTAGAACCAGCTGGACATCCTGTGCCCCTGGCCTGAGATCAAGACAACTCAATACACACACACACACACACACACACACTTTTCCAGGTAGTCTCTGTTTGGGGTAGGGGGTATCACTAGCCCAGCTGGGAATCACAGAGTCTCTTCCAAATTGAATCCATCCCACAAACCCATCCCAGGTAAAGCTGCTAACACAGATGATTCAGGGCTCCTCCAGTCTCTCCCTTCCCCTGTCTCCTCCATCGCCTCTTCTTTCCAAGGCCAGCCATCAGCTGACCCACCCTCAATACCCCATTTCCTTTCTCACCCCCTCCCAGGCCTTCCTGTGCTTTCATTCTTTCTGTCCCTCATACCCGACATGCCTCCTGCCTCTTGCAATTTATATCCTGTTCATCCTCTCAGGCCTGTTCTGTCCTTTTCTTAACTGCCCCATCTCACCCCCAAGGCTGCTCTAAACACCCAAGGATTAGTTCCACTGAACCTCTTGGTTACTCTCTTGTGTATCATCTTGTCAACTGAACTTGACATTCGGCTTGTTAAGCGCAGAGGCCACCCTTGTCTCCCACCCCCAGAGCCTGCCACAGTGAAAGGTGGCAACCCTAAGGTAGATGCCATTTTGTAGATTACAAAGGCCTTTTTCTAAACCTGATGACTCGCCCCATGGTCAGCCTGCAATGAGACCCTCCAGAAAGGCTTTCACAGCCAGAACGGAATGGGAACCAGAGAAACCTTCAGCCCCTCAATAGCTTTTTCTCTTGACGTCCAAAACAAAGGGGAGTTGGTACCAGTAGCTGACAAACACACTGCCTGAGAAAGAGGATCTGTCATCGTCACACACTAACTTCTTTGTACAATAGAGGATGGTCATGAGTCTGTCCTGCATGCTTCTTCCTCTCCATAGCCCTGCCAGCGACTTGCTCTCATTGGCCTCTACAACAGAGACGTTAAGCATCGCCAGTGTCTTTACCTTCTTCTGCTTGGTGAAGGTCAGTGCTGTCTTTTAAGTCTTCATCCACCCAGGGGTGAACCTCAGCCCTGACTCGAGGCTCCTCCTTCTTTCTCTCTGTGCTTCTATCAGCATTTTTAAAGATCCACACAATCACAACGCAGAGAACCGCTACCAAGACCGGAGTCAGGAAAAGCATGGTCAGAGTCTGATCCCGAAGGCATGCACTCTTCCCACAAACACTTCCCACTTCTTCTTAAACAAACAGAGTCAGGAGTGGGGAATGCTGGGAGGCAGGAGGAAGGAAGAAAGAGGTGTGCTGGGGAAGGAACAAAGTGCAGAACTCTCAGACTCTGTGAGGACTTTGCAAAAGAGCAAAGATCACAGTCACGTGTGTGGATTGATCATGCATCGTGCACTCGCTTTTTAAAACTGTGTACTTGATCAATATATTCTTAAATGACAATTGCCAGGATCTGAGTAAGCACTTTAATACACCTGATCTTGGTAGCAGTAAAAAACATTTCGTCTTTTTTCTGTATCACTTTTCTCTGTGAGAAATGTGTCTTCAACTTGCCTGAAGCTAAAAATCACCTGGAGAATTTGTTTTTAAAAGAAGAGATTTCCAGTCAATTCAAATATGCTGAAAGAAAATTTTCAGAAAAGAAATTTGGTAAGCTGCATTTTAAATGTCATGTTTGTGAAACACTGCTCTGAGGTTTTAATTTTTTTTTTTATGGTGCCTGAACCAACATATGGAGTAAAAAAAGTACCATGTTTTACATTAGGGAAAAACTTCGATCTAGAAGAAGTGATACACAAAATAAAAGTGACAGTTTAATTATATAATAATATAAGTAGAGCTTTAAAAATCTTTTTTGTAAGCATCTTAGTCAATTTGGGTTGCTACAACAAAAAACAGACTGGGTTCCTTACATAACAGAAATTTATTTCTCAAAATTCTGGAGGTTCAGCAGTCCAAGATCAAGGTGCTTGTCAATGCAACTTCTGAGGAGGGGTCTCTGCTTGGTCTGCAAACAAGTGTTTTCTTGCTCCCATGGTGAGTGGTGGACATCTCTCTCCTCCCTCTTTTTATAAGGCCACAAATTCCATTCTCGAGGGCTTTGCCCTCATCAACTAATTTCTTGTGTCTATATTTATTTCAAAATAAAGAATTAAAAAGAAAACAATTACTCGTTTTGGAGGAGATGTGATGACTGGATAGCTAGGGGCAAGGGCGGGGGAAATTTTGTATTGAATACTATTCCATAATTTCATGTTTAACTTTTATGAATATAGTCAATATATATGTGAATATATTTTGAATATTACCTGTTCAAAAATTAAGTATATGTTTTATTTATTTCCATGGTCATTTTGTTGGTTTTATTTTATTATATATTGTAGTACTCCTTTTTAGGATAAATAACTGTTTTTGAAATGTGTATCATACTCGTTCTAATTCCAGAGAACTGTGTAAAAGATTATAGGCAAAGGCTATTGTCTCTGGAATCCTCAGGTTAAGGCGCCTTGTAAGAAACTCTACTGCCCTGAAAATAAAAATAAGAATAAAATGAAGTGCTATCCACCAATGGCCTAGGTACAGTGAATGATTTAGAGCTGAGGTCCTCAGAGTGTTGTCCTGGATTAGCTGCCTCAGCAGCACTTGGGAACTTGACAGAAATGCAGATTTCTGGGCTCCAGGCCTACTGAGCCAGAAACTCTAGCAGCAGGGGTCTGCAATCTGTGTTTCAACAAATCCTCCTGGCTGGGTGCTGTGGCTCACGTCTATAATCCCAGCACTTTGAGAGGCCATGGTGGGAGGATTGCTTGAGGCCAGGAGTTGGAGACAAGCCTGGGCAACATAGCAAGACCTCATCTCTACAAAAGAATAATAATTTTAAAAAAGAATCAAAAAAACTAGTTGGGCACAGTGGTGTCTGTAAACCCAGCTACCTGAGGGATGAGGTGGGAGGATCACTCAAGCCCAGGAATTTGAGGCTACAGTGAGCTGTGATCATGCTACTGCACTCCAGCTTGAGAGACAGAGTGAGACTCCCGACTCAACAAAACAAAACAAGTCTTCCTGATGATTCTGATGGTGGCTCAAGTTTGAGAACCACTGGGCTAGAGAAAAGGCTCTCGTTCTCACATTCTCTACTTTATCCCAGATTCAGATTCTCCCAACCCAGACCCCTACACCATCCAGAAGAGCAAAATATCCTAAACATTAAACAATTATTAAAACCTTTTCCTCTATGGTGTATTAATAAAGCAGGATGTTGTGTATATAATAAACTCCTAGTAAATATAAATTCAGAGTTTTAATAAACAATGGATATGGAGTCATGCAGACAGACAGTCCTTAAAATTTTAAAAAAAAAAAAAGAATACCAAAAAAAAAAAATAAAAAATAAAAAAAAAGAATGGAAGAGATAGTGTTAAAAATTATATTAAGGAAGATTAATCTGGTCATAAAATCAGGTGCCAATAAAGACTGTGACCAGGAAGATGAATCGAAGAATCATGGCAGTAGTTCAGGTGAGAGCTAACAGGGTTCTTACTTGGGAAGAAAATTGTAAGACAGGGAAGAGGGTTTGTTTCATAAAGTTTGATGGTGGTAAAAGTGATATGGTCCAGACATGGGAGACTGTAAAGTAGTTATCAAAGGTCATATCCCTCCTACTCAAAGGTCATGGTCCTCCTCTCAAATCAAATCAAGTATTCCATGTCTTACTTTGTCTTACTCCTTACTTTCCCTGGCAAAAGGGTTTGGAATTTCCCAAGCTTAGTTTATGATTCCCCAAGCTTAGTGAATGTTTAAGTGGAGCCATGGATGGGCCCAGGAAGAGACTCTTTATAGAAAGAGCTCTCAGGGGAAAAGTCTGAAAGAAATACACATCTCAGAAAGTCAAGGGGGTGGTTCAGGAATGTGATTCCTCAAGTGAGACCTTCTCTGCCCCATCAAAACATTCATTCTGCGATCTGGCGATTTCCAAAGTTTCTTTTTTTTTAACCCAACAATAGCCAAACAGCGCTGCTCAGGTCACGGGTTGTGGCCACAAAATAACGATTTCAGTAATTCTCCAACCACATATTATAATATCTTCAGAAATCAATACCTTTTTATGAAAGAGCTTAGTCATAAACAATATGACATGCTTTCTACACAAGAGAACAGAAACTCTATGATGATATTAGTCACAAATATTTTAAGAGAAAAAAGCCTGGACAACATAGTGAGACCTTATGTCTACCAAAAATAAACATTAAAAAAATTAGCTGGGAGTGGTGGCACATGCCTATAATCCAAGCTACTTGGGAGGCTAGGGTAGAAGTATCATCTGAGCCCGGGAAGTCCAGGCTGCAGTAAACTGTGATCGTGCCACTGCACTCCAGCCTAGACAACACAGTGAGACCCCAGCTCAAAAAAAAACCCAAAAAACAAAAAAGAGAGAGAAAGAGAGAGAAAGAGAGAGAGAGAAGGAAAGTGAGAGAGAGAGAAATGACAGGATCCAGTATGATATTATATATCATGTAGCATTTATCAATACTATACTTGTTTCCTATCAAGATTCATTTTTTTCTGGAAATTAAAACATAATAATCAGAGCTAGTAATTTTATTTCTCAATTTTATTTCTCCCCAAGAATAAATTATTGAGACATAATTTTTGCAAAATGCAATGGCTCTTGATTAAGGCATTGGTTGCTTGGCAATGAAGGAGAGGCCTGATTGTATGAGTTTCCCAGAGCTGCTGTAACAAAGGATCACAAACTAGATGGCTTAAAACAACAAAAATTAAGCCGGGCTCAGTGGCTCAGCCTGTAATCCCATGCTTTGGGAGGCTGAGGTGAGTGGATTGTCTGAGCCCGCAGGTTCGAGACCTGCCTGGGCAACTTGGCGAGACTTCATCTCTACAATAAATCCAAAATTAGCCGGGCGTGGTAGCGCACGCCTGTAGTTCCAGCTACTTGGAAGGCTGAGGCGGAAGGATCGCCGAAGCCCAGCAGGTCGAGGCTGCGGTGGCCGGGAGCGGCCACTACACTCCAGTCTGGGTGACAGAATAAGACTCCAACTCAAAAAAAACCCCAAACAACAACAACAAAAATGTATTCTCTCACAGTTCTGTAGGATAGAAGTTCAAAATCAAGGTGTCAGCTAAGTCATCCTCCCTGTAAAGACTTGAGGAGAGAATCTATTCCATGTCTCTCTGATGGCACTGGTGTTTTCAAGAAATCCTTCATGTTCCTTGGCTTGTGGATACATCACTCCAGTCTCTACCTCTGTTGTCACATGGCATCGTTCCTATGTGTCTTCACATCATCTTTCCTCTGTGAGTTTCATCTCAGGGTCTCTTTTCCTTTTATTATAGGGACATCAGTCATATCAGATTAGGGCCGATACTAATGACCCCATCTTAACTTGATTTTGTCTGCAAAGATCTATTTTCAAATGAGGTACATGTACTTGAATTTCTCTCTTTGGGGTCACAATTCAACCCATAATACCTGGTTAAAATGGAAGTAAAGATACTTCAGCCTATTTCCGCTGAGGATAAATTAAAGTGAACTGTTAGTGAAATCCTGTAGCATCTCCAGGTTTTTAGTGTCTCTAATTACAAAGTGGGAGGAGTTAGGAGAACTTTACCCATTTCTCTGTCCTTGAAAACAAAGATGTTTATTCAACCAAGCTTTCTGTCATCAGTTGCCTTTTGCGGGTAAAGTCTCACCAGTGACTAACCTGTCCAGCTGAAACTCTGAGATGGCACAATACAAATGTTGAAATATTAGAACCCTTTAAAGAATTTCTAGCTCCAGCCTTGGACTCAGGAAAAGCCAGAGGTCCAAAGGTTACAGATTTTCATTTTTTTTATATTTTCAAATTTTATTAGTTAAATGAGCAACAGGCAACAGCTGGTCAAGCATTTCTCAGATAACTACCGGGAGAAAGACAAGACTCTTTTGATGACATTGGGGCCAACCCAGGTATCCCAGGATAATCTCTCTAAAACATAGTTCCAAAAGTGGCCAAAATCAGTGACTATCGTTAAAGAATTGCAAACATTGGCCGGGTGTGGTGGCTCAAAACTATAATCCCAGCACTTTGGGAGGCCGAGGTGAGAGGACTGCTTAAGCTCAGGGGTTTGAGACCAGCTGGGCAACTTGGTGAGCCCTTGTCTCTACAACATATAAAAAAAATAAGC